AGCCACGCGACGCGCTCGCCAGCTCGACCCGCATCGCTATAGCCCTGCAACCCCCTCGCTAGCTCGCCACCCCATCGCTAGCCTGATCCAGCCATCTGCCGATGCATCTCTCGAGCCGCTGCACTCGCATCGCCCACTCACCTCGCAAGCCGCCGCTGCCGCCGACCCGTCCCGTTTGTGTCATGTCGTCTGTCACCTCCTCCGCGTCCACCAACTCCAACCCGTTGGCCAATGCCAATCCTCCCGACGTCAACGACATCCGCAACCTCAACATCTTCGAGAGGGTGCCGGTTCGTCTCTTGCAGGCGGACTCCTCCTACTACACGTGGAAGACGTATTTTTCCCTCGTGTTCCGGTAGTATCACCTCATCGACCACGTGGACGGCACCGTCGACTCCAGCCCCGTCCCAGAGTTTCATGACTGGTCCACCATTGACACCATGATCATCCGTTGGTTCTTCCTCACCATCTCGCCGGACCTTTTCTAGACGGTCGTGGCAGACGGTGACGATGCCTGTGCCATGTGGACCAAGCTGAACGGGCTCTTCACCGACAACCAGCTTGAGCGTCACGTTTTTTTGCAGCAAGAGTTTTTTGGGTGTCACCAGGACAACGCCTCCGTCGCTGACTATTGTAGCCGCCAGAAGACTCTCGCTGACGAGCTCCGCGATATTGGCGCGAAGATCAATGATGACCTCCTCCTCAGCACGCTCACCGTTGGGCTCAACAAGGACTTCGGCAACCGCGGCGAACCTCAGCCTCATCCCCAACCCGTCCTTCGCCAAGTTCGTTGCGTACCTTCGCTAGGAGGAGCGGCGGATGAAGCAGGTGAAGGCGCAGGCCATCCACACCATTCTCGTTGCCGGCACCACCCTCGGCGCCTCCCGCTGCTCCGGCCGCGCCCCCCTGCCGCACCACCCGGCGCCGCCGCCATACCCGGCGCCCCAGCAGCCGAGGCTGCTTCCACTGCCCTATGGACCGCCCGCCCCTCCCTCCCCTCCTACTGAACGATGCGGTGGGGGCCGATGCGCTGGGGGCCACCGCGGTAGTCAGCAGCAGCAGTCGCAGGGCACCGGCCCGCCCCGTCAGCAGCAGTCACATCAGCAACAGTTCCAGGTGCCCCCTCCGTGGGCCTCCAGCTACAACCTATGGACCGGTGTTGTTTATGCCTACACCATGCCGGTTCCATGGGCTCCTGCACCGACTCTTCCCGTGCCGCGCCCGCCGGCGCACCAGGCGTACTACGCGGCTCCACAGCTGAACGGCACCTACGATGTCCCTACGGCCCCGCCGGTCCTGCCGTCGACACCTTGGTATCCGGCGCTCCTCGCCGCGCTGCACACCGCGGCTACGCCGAACAACTACACTGGACACGGTGATTGGTACATGGACACCGGGGCTACGACTCACATGTTTGCTCATCCTGGTAATCTTGTCTCCTTCACTCCCGTCACCACCGACCGCCGCATCATTGTTGGTGACGGTTCCACACTTCCTATTACACATGTCGGGCACACTTCTTTTCCATCCACTTCCATGCCTATTGCTTTGTCCAACATACTTGTGTCTCCTCATCTTATTAAGAACCTTGTTTCCGTTCGTTGTTTAACTCGTGAAAATCCAATTACTGATAAATTTGACGAGCTTGGTTTTTGTGTCAAGGACGCTCGAACCAGGATGGTACTTCACCATTGTGACAACCTCGATGAGCTCTATCTGGTGCATCCGCCGTCCACCTCCACCACCGCACCGGTTGCTCTCTCCGCTGGTGTCGATCTCTGGCACACTCGTTTGGGTGATCCCAACCCCGTCACACTTCATCATATTCTTAGGAGCTTCATCATATTCACACCTGTCATGCCTGTCGTGTCGGCAAACATGTTCGCCTCCCGTTTAATAACTCCACCACCATAGCTTCTTTTCCTTTTCAGTTGATTCATAGCGATGTGTGGACCTCTCCGGTTCCTAGTAATTCAGGCTATTTATATTATCTGGTTATCCCTGATGATTATTCTCACTATGTGTGGACGTTTCCTTTATGACGAAAGTTGAATGCACTCTCCACTTTGACGGCTTTTTACTCCTATGTCAGCACGCAGTTTGGGCATCCCATCCTTGCTCTTCAGACTGACAATGGAAAAGAGTTCGACAACCTTGCTTTTCGCACTTTTCTGTCGCACCACGGCACACTTTTTCGTCTCATATGCCCGTATACTTCACAGCAAAACGGTCGAGCCGAACGCATCCTTCGCACTCTGAACGACTGCGTTCGCACGCTCCTGCTCCATGCTAATGTGCCACCTCGTTTCTGGCCGGACGCACTCGCTACTGCTTCACTTCTCCTTAACCTTCGCCCCTGCCGCCCACGGTGGAACTATGCACCTCACCATCTTCTCTTCGGTACGACCCATCTTATAATGGCTTGCGTATTTTTGGGTGCCTTTGCTATCCTAGCACTGCCGATTCCGCTCCTCCCAAACTCGCACCTCGTTCTGTCGCTTGTATCTTCATCAGTTATCCCTCTAACTCCAAGGGGTATCGGTGCTACGATCCCGTCTCCCGCCGTGTGTTCACTTCCCAACATGTTTACTTTGATCAGCATGTGTTTCCATTTCAGCAGGTACCCCCGGCTGTTCCTCCCGCCACCGGTGACGCGGGCTCCTCAACGCCTCTCCCAGGGTAGTCGCGCGCCTCTCTTGGCCCGCCCTGGCTTTGAGGCGCGCCCCCCCGCATGCGGCTCCTCCTACAACCGCGGCGATGGCGCCTGCGGCGCCCCTGGCGCCCTGTGCCCGTGGTGCCCTCGGCGCCTGCAGAGCCCTTGGAGCCCCGGTGCCCGCGGCCCTCCCGGCACCCGCGCCCCCCGCGCCCGTGTCGGGTCCGGTCACCCGCGCCCATACGGGTGTTTTTCGCCCGAGCTCGCGCTACGCCGCAGATGACTACGTCCATGCGGCGTCCACGTCTGAGCCATCACCCTTGCCGTCCTCCGTTCGAGCCGCTCTTCGTGACCCGCTCTGGATGGCTGCGATGCAAGAGGAGTTTGACGCCCTGTTGCACAACCGGACGTGGCAGCTTGTTCCCCGGCGCCAACATGATTACCGGGAAGTGGGTCTTCAAATACAAGCTCCGTCCCGATGGTACCCTTGATCGCTATAAAGCGTGTTGGGTCGTTCGTGGCTTCCGACAGCGTGCTGGCATCGACTTCACCGACACCTTCGCTCCGGTCGTCAAGCCCGGTACGATACGCACGGTTCTCCACCTTGCGCTCTCCCGGGGTTGGCCGGTGCACCAGATGGACGTCTCCAACGCCTTCCATCATGATCATCTCGAGGAGCAGGTCTTCTGCCAGCAGCCCACATGGTTTGTTGACCCGGTGCTTCCCGATCACGTGTGCCTGCTTTCGCGGTCCTTGTACGGACTCAAGCAGGCTCCGCGTGCCTGGTACCAGCGCATCGCGGCGTTTCTCCACCAGCTTGGGTTCAGCTCTACCCGCTCGGACGCCTCGCTCTTCGTCTATCATTAGGGCTCTAACACGGCCTACTTGCTGCTCTATGTCGACGACATCATCTTGACGGCATGTACGGCTGGTCTCCTCAGTCAACTCAAGGCTCGTCTTCGTGCTGAGTTCGCCATCAAGGACTTGGGTTCTTTGCACTACTTCCTCGGTGTCGAGGTAGTGCACCGTCCGGATGGCTTCTTCCTTCATCAGCGAAAGTACGCTCATGAGCTCCTGGAGCGCGCCGGCATGCTTAACTGCAAGCCCGCCGGCACGCCTGTTGATACGAAGGCCAAGCTTTCTGCCACGGATGGTTATCCTGCTTCAGATGCTGCTTTCTATCGGTCTATCGTTTGTGCTCTCTGGTACCTCATCCTGACTCGGCCGAAGATCCAGTACGCCGTGCAGGAGATGTATCTTCATATGCATGCTCCTCGAGATGTTCACTGGGCTGTCGTCAAGCGGATTCTCTGCTATGTCTGTGGCATTATGGATCTTGGCGTCACGTTTCACGCCTGCGCCGACACCGACCTATGGGAGTGTATGATGATTTGCTAATTGATGAAATTGATTTCTTACCAATAAAAACATAAAAACCATTGGAGATGATTCAACTGTTGATGGTTATGGTATAGTCCACTTTTTTTTGGAGAAAGAAGGGTCTGTCTAGTAGCACATCTCATGACTCAATTAAACTAGAAAAAAAAGATAGAAAAAAACACAATCAAGAATTTTAGCGTAAAATTAATGCCATAGAACTTAGATGTGCAATGCTTAGAGCACATCTAGATGTGCTCTAGCAAACTCGACAAAAAGAAGAAAACAACAACGCATCCTTGATTTGTTAGTCTATCTAGAATCAGTTCCCGTGGCTCACACGCCTGGAAGGCCACCGCAAATCCCTCCGATATACAAGTACGATATGCAAGAAGGTTGTTCTCGCACGATTACAACTTTTGATTGGAGAAAAATGATGTGTTCCCGAAAAGAAAAGTAGGGAACAAAGATATAGTGTGCTCATCCATGGATTACGGCGTCGAAACGTCTAGAAGGGCACCACAGCCTTCAAACCCTTCCGAGATGAACAATCTTGGGGTGAACAAACAGACACCGGAGCATCTCATGGCAAACCAGAAAAAAAATGTAACAAAAGTAGCACCGTGGTCGTACGTCCAAGCAAGAGCTACAGGCTACAGCTAGCTACCTCGATGAAGCAACGTAACGGATCAGATTGATCGCAAACTGGACATGTAATAAAACGCGTGCCATGAAACCAGTCTGTCGAGAGAGAGTCCATTTCCACCCGAGCGTCCACGTCGTGGCGGGTATCCAACCCGTTGCCAGTAGCCCCTAACAACTCTTCTCCTGCATACTATGTACTCACCTGCTTGATTCCCCGCTTCTAGTTCTCATCGGAGCTGCAATCCATCGACCCTCAGCACAACGGCTTAACGCGCGCCACCCCCCGCGCTACGCTGCACACTCCGGTGCTATACGGTCTCCACAGATGGACGCCGACGCTGCCTCCCCGTCGGACCAGCACAGGACGGTGTGGACGGAGCCGCCCAAGAGGCCGGCGGGGCGGATCAAGTACAAGGAGACGCGCCACCCGCTGTACCGCGGCGTGCGGCGTCGGGGGCGGCACGGGCGGTGGGTGTGCGAGGTGCGCGTGCGCGGCACCAAGGAGACAAGGCTCTGGCTCGGCACCTTCCGCACCGCCGAGATGGCGGCGCGAGCGCACGACTCCGCCTCGCTCGCTCTCTCCGGAAGCGCCGCCTGCCTCAACTTCGCCGACTCCGCCTGGCGGATGCTGCTCGTCCTCGCCGCTGGGTCTTCCAGCTTCAGCAGCGCGCGGGAGATCAAGGACGCCGTCGCCGTCGCTGTCGTAGCGTTCCAGCGGCAGCGCTCCATCGCGTCCACGGCCGACGGCGAGAAGGACGTCCAAGGCTCGCCGACGCCGAGCGAGCTGTCCACGTCCAGCGATTTGCTGGACGAGCACTGGTTTGGCGGCACGGATGCCGGATCGTACTACTCGCCGGGCATGTTCATGGAGCCGCCGGAGCGGCCTGAAAACCGCGAGCTCGGTGCCGGCGACGTGTAAAGTTTATAGTTGGTTCTGTACTTCTGTCGCACCAAATATGGGAAGAAACAGAGGGGAATATTTTCCCTCATATGGTCCATGTGTGTTCGTTCATATTGAAAGCCTCCGGTTTCTACTTTGAGAAAGGGCATATTTGCACTTGCGTGTTCTGTGAATAAAGAATACAGTAGTACTTCAGTTATTGTGGACCTGAAGCACTCACGATCTTATATAAGGTACTGCTACTATATTTTATGTTAGTGTAGAAACAAGAAAAAAAACATTAAAATATAAGACCGTATTTTATGGCAATTCGACTTTGTCTTATAGGAGAACCGAAAAAAAATGTATTTTGGTAGGGAGGGATCGAGAGTGCACATTAGGGAAGTGACCACAATGGAGTTAGTAGACGGCTTTGAAAGAGAAATTCAACTGCATGTACTATTCGTGGAGGTGTGGTGACGAGAAATATCTGAACATCAGGGCAGGGATAACCGTTTAACAACTAACAAATTGCATTAATTAGCTGATGTAGTTAACGTCAATCCAGATGATGTGTTGGATTCACTTTGGGTCATGGGGCCGGCTGGCTAAGTTATTGGAAACTTAACCTCTTCCAGATCCCCTTTATTTGCATTATTCTCAAAAACACAGAGTTTCTGCACTCAGGTGCGTATGCACCTACATGACCCGTGAAATAAGAAGTAAAAAATAGAGAAAATATACAAACAATTCTGATTTCTTTGTGATAAACAAATTGAATATTTTTACCAACATGCAAAGTTTTGTACTGAATGTTTCCATGAAAGTCTGAGAAAAATGATGTTCCAAAAGGACAATATTTAGAGCACATTGAAACTTTGCATGTTGCTAAAACATTCAGTACTGTTTGTAAAAAAAATCAGATTTGTTGAAAACTATTTATATTTTTTCAGAATTTGGTGTTCATCATGGCATGGTTGCATATGCACCCACTACTAGAACATCACTTCAGAAATGTCATGTCATATTGAATAGTATTACATATTCGAAACAATATTTTATTGTACACATAAAAAATAAAAGATTCTGCTAAGAGGTTGGAGTGGATGAATTTGTTATAATATGTATGAGAAAGTAATTCCAAATATATTTTTCTATGAATTTCACTCCTACAAATAAAAGAACGCAGGTAGAAAGACACACTCACAATTTCATGTCCAATTCCTTGGAGCGCTAAGCGAGTTATAGCTTTCACTCATTTTCATTAGGGGCCCATAAGGAAGTTATAACGTCCATCTCTTATCGCAAAAAAAAAAAAACGTCCATCACACGATGAGACAGTCGCGTGCTGCTTTTTTTTTGGAGCAAACTAAGCTCCAAAATGTCCCCGAAGATGCAGGAAGAAGATATCCCATATACAAGAGGTACCAACTTCATGCATTCCTTCCACGCAGCGGAGGGGGCATTATTATAACACCTCGTTTGTCTTGCAATAATTAAATTCTACTCATTCAGTTGAATTCCAAAGCCAATTCCGTTTAATTTTGAGTTTTCTATATAATTATATGAATTATAATGTTTATGTTTGGATGTCACATGCAAATGAAGGTCACTACTATATGGAATTTAGCTTTTTAGAATTTCAACCTCGTGTTCACACATCAAATTTACTAGGAACGAATTAAATTAGCCCAACATTAACCACATAAAGAGCATCCACTTTGAGTTTATTAGCAGACCAATCCATACAAGTATGTGTAATGTAGGCTTCCATAAAACTTTGACATTTAAAATTTGAACCATGTGTTCACAGGTAAATTTCCATTTTTTTCCTTTTGGAATTTTTATAGACAATGACATTGTGATGAACAAATTTGAGCTTATTGGCAGATCACTTCGTGCAAGTGTGTCTCATGTAGCTGTAAAGATGCCCTCGTAAATCTATGGTATTTACTTCCTCTGTAAAGAAATATAAAAGCGTTTAGATTTATTTTTTTGCGGGGTATAAAAGTGTTTAGATTACAAGAGTAGTGATCTGAATGCTCTTATAGTTCTTTACGGAGGGAGTACTATTTTTATCTCATGTTCACACTTTTTTTTGAAATTACAGTAAATTTTTATTCAAGCAAAAAAGAAAGTAAAACGGCAGGCCAACGGACACCACTAACGACAACGCTGCAGTACGTATACTTACGAAATGGTTCTAAAAATAGGCGCTATTCGTTCACGAGCGGTGACTATATCGGGGATCTGGCAGCTTAATCCACTCCACTGGCTGGTCTAGACGTACGCTACGCTAATTAATCCAGAAGATGTGGTACGGAAGCCATCTACTAGTCACTAGTCGGCCGATTGAGGCCAAGTTGGGGCCCTGGATCAGAGATCTTTTCACTGCTTCACGTCGTGATCACGAGCTGTCGCTTCCCCTCCGTCCTCTAAATCCTATGGCCAACTGGCACGATGCCAAGATGTGATGCGTTTGTCCTCACTTGGTTAGATATGTGGCTCCATCCACTAAAAAGAAGAAAGATAGGTGGCTCCATTATGCTAGTTATTCTTCCGATGACTTGTAGC